CGTTTCCGGTTTAATCAAATGAAAATAATAATAAATAAAAACAAAAATAAAATAGTGACTTTGTAGTTTATTTGTTATTAATTTCGAAAAATAATTTTTTTTTTTTTTTTTTTTTCATCGTCTGGAAGAAGTCTGCGGAAGACTTTTTTTCAAGACGAAGAAAGGGAGGGAGGGGTGGAGGAAAGAGGGGAAAGGAGGAGAAAGGAAGGAATTTGAAATTTTCATATTTCGTCTAACAGGTTTATCAGGCACGCGCGAATTTAATACAATTTAAAAACTCGTTTGCCTCCTTATTTTTTTTTTTTTCTCTTCAAATTATATAATCGTGTGTGTGTGTTTTAAGAAGTTGAAATGAAACGAAACAAACCGGAAACGTTGTATAATTCTATTCATGTTAAATGGGAAGGTTATGTCAATCAACCACAACGACAACTACAACGACAACGACAACAACAAACATAGTTTTCACGGGTTTCCGATTTTTATTTTTTTATTTTCATCGAAATATAACAATTTTTTATTTTTTGACAAACTTTTATCTATCCGCGCGTATTTTTAAAAGCAGACGAAATAATTTTCAAATGCGTTTTGATTCTTTGTGACGTCATTAAAAAAAAAGAAAATTTTCGAAAGGGCTTTCTATGACTTTTCCAAAAAAAAATATTTTCATTAACTTTTTTTTAACACGCGAATAAATAAACGACCGCAAATTTATTATTATTATTATTATTATTATTATTATTATTATTATTATTATTATTAATATTATTATTATTATTATTATTGCTATTATTATTATTATCATCGCAATTCATTATCGTATATATTTTATGGAAAAAGTTTTAAAAAGTAAATTACTTTAACGGAAAAAAAAAAACTTTCAAATTTTTCATTATCGAAATAAATTATTTAAAATTGCAAATTATTATTATTATTAACATTTTAACGTTTGCGCCATTTTATTTATATTTTTAATTAAGTAAAAGTATTTTTGTTTTGTTTTTTTATTAATTAATTAATAATTAATAATAATTAATAACAAAAGTATTTATTAACTTTAAAATTTACGCTAGCAAATTTAAATGTGGAAAATTTTATGAAAAAAAAAAAAACGGATTCGGTGAAATTTTCATGTTAAATTATTATTATTGCTATTATTTATTTATTTATTTATACAATTATTATTATTATTATTATTATTATTGTTAATAAAGGCTGGGTGTCGATTGGTCGATTGTGTCAGAAGTAAAAATTTAATAAAAGAATTTGTTTTTTTACGACTAATTTAAATTGTAAATTTAAAAAATCAATAAATCAATAAAATAATTATTAAATAATCAGTAAATCAATAAATAATAATAGTAATAATAGTAATCAATAAATTGTAAATTTTAAAAAGATTGAAAATATCGTCTGCTTGATATTTTCTTCCGACGCGTCTATAGCTCTCAGTCATTTTTGAATTTCCCGCCTTTTTTTTTTTTTGAACAACATTCATTTATGTTGTTTTTGATTCTCATTCACTACGATAAAAAAAACTTTAATGGGACATAAGATGGACGAACGAGGCGTTTTCAAAGTTAAAAAAAAGCCGCGCGTGAAATTTTTTCTTCTTTTTTTTTTTTTCGTGACCTCTTGACCTTGCAAAGTACAGGTGTTGTCCTTCTTTACGTGATATGTTTATGATTTTTTCGAATGAAGAAAAGGCCGGAGAATAAAAAATCACGTTCGTTACGAATTGAAAAAAAAAAAAAAATTTTTTTTTATTAATTTTATATAAAGAGTGAAAGTCGATGCGTGCATGTGTGTGTGTGCGTGCGTGTGTGTTGATAACAGTTATCATTAAAATGAGGAAGTTTTAATGGGCCTAAAGTGATGAGTACAAAATTTGGGGGGCCTTTTTAACCCCGTGAAAATTGAAAATGTTAACCTTTTGGTTCTTTTATTATTACCTTTTATTACTTTTCCGCCATTTTTGTTTAATCAAAAAAATTTTTTTTTACGATTGTTCGCTTGTTTGTCCGTTTTTTGTTTGTTCTTTTCGAAAAGTCACAAATCTGAAATTTTTTTTTTTAAATTTCGACGGAAAATAACAATTTACGAGTACAAAAGTTTCATTTATTTCTCACGGAAAATTATGTACAAAATATCTCATTATATTTTAATCGTTTTGATACGTCATGATTATTACGTCATAATTATGAATTTTATTCAGTCGGTGAATATTTTAAATATAAAACATTAAATTGAAAATAAAAATAAAAATCATTTTGTCGTCGAGAAAATCGAAAATTTTTAATTTATCACCTCTCGACCACGATATTAATCGATAAATCGATCGATCAGTTCCTTATTTCGATGTAATCGAACCAAATACAATTAATAAATTTATTTTATCGACATAATAATAATGATAATAATCTTTGGCAACAAACGAAAAAAAAAAAATTTTTTTTGTCATTAATTTAAACGGAATCGTTTTGGATTTGAACTCTCACGTATTTCATTACGATTTCGTCATACACAAATCGTAATGAATTTATTATTATTATTATTATTATTATTATTATTATTATTATTATTATTATTATTATTATTATTATCGAATAACAAACGACTTGTAATGAGATCGTAATTTCGAAATGATGAAAAAAAAAAAAATGTCGTTTGTCGAAAAAGATTTTAATAAAAAAAAAAAAAACGAAATTGCACAATAAGAGATTCAAAAAAAAAAAAAAACAAAAAAAAAAAAAATTTTAATTTTTTAAAAATTTGTCGTCGTTACAAATATTGTTATTATTATTATCATTATCATTATAATTTTTTATTTATTACGGTAATAAAAAAAAAATTTTTTTTCGACCGGGATTTAATATGCAAAAGAATTTCATTCACCATTTTTTTTTTTTTTTGTCAAATTACGTAATTAACGATAATTACGAATGAATATTTTTATTTATTTATTTATTTTTTTTCCCGTTCGTGTGTACGTACAAAGGATTGTGTTTGTTTGTTTGTTTGTTATTACACTACAAACGTTAACATGTAACAATCACGCACTTCTTTTTTTTTTCTTTTGCATGTAAAAACTCAACCGCTAATTTTTTTTTTTTAAATATTATTATCGAATATAATTCCCAAGTTTTTATTGTTGTGGTTGTTGTTTCCGCCATTTTTACGCGGGAAAAAAATTTAAATTTAAATGTAACAATTCGGTTAAATTATTTGAATCAAGACGTAACGGGGGGTGGAAAGTATAATCGTTAGGATTTTGATATTTCAAATCGTTTTTTTTTTCTCGGGTCAAAGGTTAAATATTTTAATGATTTTTCGGACATGATTTTAATCTTTTATCGTTTTTTTTAAAAATGATTTTAAAATATTTTGCGGTTTGAATTCAAAACAAACATAGCGACTGCTAAAATTCGAAAACAAATAAAAAAAAAGTATTTGCGGAAGTAAGGATTGTTTTCTAAAAAAAAAAAAAAAAAAGTGACAACATCTGCTTCCTGTACCTTAAAAAAAATTTTATTTGTTGTTGTTGTCACACAACACGATCGGAATTGATTTTATAAAAAAAAAAAATATTAAAAAACAAGAAATTCGAGCGACATATTGGCTGGAAGGTAGTAGTCAATAGTAGGAAATGTTAAAACTCGATTTATTTATTATAATTTTTTAACGAGTTTTTTTTTTATTTTATTTTATTTTATTCGTACGATAAAGAGCAAAGGATTATTTCGGTTATAACAACAACAATACGATTATTATATTAAATTAATACAATTCAATTTTGATAACGTTATCATCATTGAAAATAATCAATTTTATTATTATTATTATTATTATTGCTATCACGTTTTGAAAATGGAAAAATGAATTTTCGCGAACTCCAGTAGGATATTTAATTTACTTTTTATTTTTTTTAATTTGTAACGAATGAGTACATGATATATTATTACCGTATTAAAATAATAATAATATTAATAATAATGATAATAATAATAAAATTAAGAATTTAAACGGGAATAAAACAATAATAAAAAAAAAATTGAATTTTTTTATTCGAGAGTTATTTCCGAGTGAAAGTTTTCACGTCGAGATTATTTTTTTTTCATTTTATTTTATTTTAATATTACGAAAAATAATAATAAAATAAATTAAATTATAAATCTTTTAACCTTTGTTATAATCGATATAAACTTTTATCAATTCGTATATATAATTTTTTTTTTCATTATAATAATTATTATTATTTTTTGTTGGGAAAATATTCATCTGAATCTTTTTCTCTTTCACTTATATTATTTTGGAAATTTAATTTATTTTTTATAAAACAACGATTTGTGCGTTTAATGCGTAAAGTGAATAAAAAAACATACGAAATACGTATATTATTTTTTCTCGTGAAATATTACAAGATGCTTTTACAATACGTAAATGTACGTTAAATTGCGTACATGTGAAATTGAAGGAGTAGCTTTTTTAAAAATAATTTTGAATTTGTTTCGCGGGTTTTTAACGTGTGACGTCATAATAATAATATTTTAAATTTCCCGCGTTTTTTGAAAATGGTTAAATATTTAAAAAAGACATTTGAGAAAATTTTTATTAAACTTATATTTATATTTATTCATTTTAAATTTAAAAAAAAAATCAATAACAATAACAATTATTAACAATTATATTTAATTAAGTTCTTTTTTTTAAAGAAAATCAATTCATAATGATAATGATGATAATAATAATAATAATAATAATAATTATAATGCGAAAACAAACGATATAAAAATTATCTTACATTAAAAACTAATGACTAGAATCGATAGGAATTTAATATATTTAAAATAAATTTGCATTGAAAAGTTTAAATTCTTCACCGTCGTCTTCGTCGTCGTCGAGGTCGACGTCGTCTATGACGTCACCGATGACGTCATCGTCATTGACGACGTTTTCCTCTTTTCCTTCTTGAGGTTCTTCGTGAACTTCGTAATTATGACTTAATAGATTGACGTATTCCTGAGTGTGTTTATATCCGCCGAATTGGTTATTGTTAAATGTACTCGTACTGCTATCGTAGCCGATGCTGCGATAACCGAAGACGTTGTTGTTGTTGTTGTTGTTGTGGTTGTGGTTGTTGACGTTGTTGTGATTTTGCGAGTCGATTGAACCGCCTTGTCCTTTAAATCCACCAAATTCGTCGTATTCGTAGCTGCTCAAACCTTGACCGCGATATTCTTCATTATCATTATTATGACGTCCGAAAGAATATTGTTCGAACGTTCGAAAATCTTTTTCGAAACCTTTCGAATCGTTTATTTCGTCGTAATGAAAACGTTTATGCCTTTTAACGTCGATCGGAATTTGTTCCCCTCGTATGATTTTATATTCTGGCAACGTTCGTATTACGAGTTTTTTCCTAGAAAAAAAAAAATAATAATAATTATGTAAAAAAGTAAAATGGATAATGTGTGCGAGTTCAAACGTGTCGAGAAATCGAAAAAAAATGAAAAAGGTTAAAGAAAAGGTTAACGTCGGACGTTGAATGTTATTATTATTATTATTATTTAATATTACTAAAATTTAGGTCAACGATCAAACAAACTTTCCCGATTTGATTTATGTTCTACGCAATGCAACAAGGTGCAACCGGGTAAAAATTTTCTTACTTTGTATGAGTTCCAGGTTTTGGAAACGTCAAAACGTTTTCTATGACTCCCGTGAATATGATCGCGACGAAAACCTGGAAAAAACAAAAAAAAAATTCGATAGAATCTTTATTAAATATTTAGTCCATATAAGGTTCGAACTTTCTATTATATCACAAAATTTTTTTAAAAAAACTTTTTTTTTTTTTACTCTATGGAAAATTTCCAAAGTGAAAGTTTGATGAGAAAAAAACCGTAGCGTGTGAGTGAGTGTGTCACTTATTGTATCATCTTCTAGGAAACGGTAAAAAAATGATTTAGAAAAGCTCTCTAATAACCTTTGACCTTTTCAATCACTTTTCTCTTCTTTTTTCGCGCCAAAATTAAAATTTAAATTGTTTTTTTATGACTTATGAATAAGATTTTTAAAAAATTAAGGTGGAAAAAATGTTTTCTCACACCCTTTTTTAATTTTTTTACAAAAACGTTATCAATATTTGATAACGATTTTAAAAAAAAAGGTCATCGAACTTTAAAATCGGTACAGATTATTATTACGTAATAATAAAATGAAAAATTTTTACGAAAATGTTTGCTTACGGGTGATAATTGAATAATTCACGTGGCGACGATGCGAAAAATGTCAAGATCAAGGCGAAAACCACGTGTTTCCCCTTGGGGAAGGTCAAAGGTTAAAATTCTTTTACGGTAGACAATGAATAAAATTTTACATTCTGTACGAGCGTGAAAGTGATAATAATAATAATTATAATAATTATAATAATTTAAACGAGTGAAATTATGTTGGCAGGAAAATTTTTTTTTTATTTTTATTTTCGCACGTATTATAGAGTAGCAGAAGGAAAAAATAATAATAATAATAATAATGAAACGCGAAAGCGAAGAGTAAAAAAAAAGTTTCGTGACGAAAGATCGAAAATTATTTTATCGATGGCAAAACGAAATTTTTTTTTTAAACGGCCGCAAAAAATAAACGATTACGACTACAAACCGTAAAAAAACATTTATTTACTCACCGAATTTATCCAAAACATTTTTGTTTTTTTTTTTTTTGTTTCTAATGCTACGACCGTTTTTTTCCCGTAAAATTTAATTTAACAATCAATCAATCGTTAAAAAAAAAATCAAAAAAAAAAAAAAAAAGAAACAAATTACGATTAAAATAACGAAACCTCGTCGTCAAATGATTACATAAAACTAAAACGAAATCAAAATGATGAGATGATGATGCTGTTATGTACCAAAATGAAATTCGATCACGAAACAAAAAA